CTTATAAGTTACACTAAGCATAAGGGACTTTACTATCGACACTCTTTTCCGCACGGAAACCTCTTTTTCGGTGCAACTAATCTCAATCTGTTCCAGTACTCATCTACTCGTGCTCCCTGTTGGCTGCTGACTGCTCCTCATGTGTATACGCCTCGGCCACGTGGGGATGTTCGTGGTGCAGTGGTCGATGCTCACATGACTGTCCTCAGCCTCCTCAGGACGTCATCTGCGATCGACCACAGATCGTCTCGGTTCGTTGCGCTTTCTTTAATCCAATTAGCCTCGGCAACGTAGCCAATTTGATGTGTCTCAGCCAGACAAAGCTGGATCATTTCTGACTCGATTTGATAAACAGGGAAGAAAATGGCGAAAAAAGGGAAGTTCGTAGGGACTGATCCATCCGGGGAGTTCATTACCCATGAGTTTGTCCTAGACAATTCCCGTTACAGAAGTTGCCGGAAGTTTTCGGATTCCCTCTTGCCCCTTCAAACTGGGAAAACTATTTTCGATAGCGGACCTTAATACGATCGTTATGGCAAATATTCTGAGTGATATCAAAAGATCAGTTCTAATAAGACTCGACCCCATCTGTGTGGGGCAGAAACGGGTGTGGCATGCCCACAAATCCTATATGTTCAATTTTTCTGGAGCAGAGTAGCCTTAACTAGTTGCTTCTAAAATTTGCAACCCTGGGGGTTTTCAGTCTAATATGACTCTACGGATACTTTTGCAGTTCACCCCTAGCAGTGGACCTGTCGAAGGTGGCACACAGATGACGATCACTGGCAGAGACTTGGGTTCGACGATCGAAGAAGTGAAGGACCGAGTGTTTGTGGCCGGTAGTCGATGTCCTGTCATCCACTACGAGATCTCCAAGAAAATTGTCTGTCGAGTGGAAAAGGTACGAATATCTTTATTCTCAAGAAGAGCTTTTGCCACTGATACAGTCGATACTTTCTTTTTCTCTTCCAGGGAATTTCATCGGGCCCTGTACGAGTTACTGTAGGCAAAACGGGTTCGAGAACGGCTGAGTCTACCCTGCTCTATTCATTTGTCGAGACCAACGTCTTCTCGGCCTATCCACCTTTCGCTCCTGTCTCGGGAGGGACCAAGGTATTCCTCTTGAACCATAAATGATGAAAATAAAGCGCAATAGTTTCATTTGATATTATTAAACATAAGTATATAAGTATATGTTAGTTAAGTATATAATATGTACAATAAAAATAATAAATATAATATAATAAATACATAATATTTAAAAATTATTATTAAAATTATTACAATATTTTTCTAAATGGATAACTCAAATTGATTTTAGATCTATATCCCTGAAATAAGTGTTGGTTGTATAGGATCTGTGAATGTAATGATACGGTGATGACTAATACTGAATAGTAAGATCAAGACGTAGGTGGTGTAGTGGCTAGCGGCGCACTTTCACACACAAAAGTTCTGCAGATCGGTACCCGCCTGGGATCAAGAAGCCTTCCAACCTTCCGGGGTTGACTAATTAGTACTAGATTCGTATGGGATCGTAAAAGCCCTTACTTGGACATGGGCAAGTCAATGTTTAGGCCGTATACGCATTCAAACGCCCTCACGAAATGGATGGAGGTCGAATGCGGAGAGCATCCCAAAGACGGTACTGATAAATGCCGTCAAACCCTTTCTTCTTGTCTATTAGTACATAATACTTGCAATATTAGTAGTAATAATGATGATAGTGAAAATAACATGATTTTTGACTAGATGTTCGACTTGAGGGTATGATTTTCATAGGATTTTTATAGATTACCCTCTATGGACAGAATCTGGACGTTGGCTCAGAAGTGAAGGTGCAGATTGGGAAAGTCCCTTGTAGCGATGTCAGGGTAATTATTATCTTTCGCGAATTTCTTTGAAATTATTCAACTTTTCTGGGTAACCCTCTTTTTCTGAGCTCTTTCCATTCAGCGTAATTCGACTTCATCATTGAGCTGTACCATATCCCGTGCAGTAGCTCCATCGAAAATCGCTGAAATCAGCGTCTCCATCGATAATGCCATCATGAAAGTGCCCGGAACATTCGAATTCCGTCCCGATCCCACAGTGGCGTCCGTATATCCACTTGTTAGCTTTAAATCAGGTGGAAGATTGGTATCAGTTGAGGTAGGTAGCTCAATACATAGTTGTAAGGGGCTCATGCTTGAGTTGCTGTAAGTACTTCTTCAGGGGACGAACTTTGATGCGGTGTTGACGGCACGGATGTTCTTCGTCTCGTCTACTTCGCCTCCATTTGAGATCGTCTCGAAGCTGTCGAGTTGTCAGATTCAGAATGCAACGTTCATGTTCTGCCTGACGCCTCAACTGCTTTCGGGACCACACGCTAGGTCATCTTATTCAAGGTGAGAGAATGAGCCGTGCATATTGCTTGAAAGGGAATTTCCCTCCACCAGCTTCAAATACACGGCCATGAGCTATAAAAAAGATATAAATGACTTTGGTTAGCGCCTTTCTTTCTGCCTTCCACCCTGCACTTGTTCCGAGCTCCCAGATGAGCCCGTGGGGCTGGAATGCCCCTTTATGCTGCACTTGCCCGGCTTACAACTTCTTCTACAACTTGCTGTTACTGTATTTTTCAAAGTGGACAACAGTTACAGATTCCCTCTGGGATTTGCGATGGACAACGTGACGTTGGTTCGTAATCTGGGCCATCGGATTCAGATGCGAATAGTTCCCGATCCCGAATTCGCTCCATTTAAAGGTGAATTTGTTGTAGGTTTATTCTAGTGTTACATCGTCGCTTTTATGTCAGTGCCTCGCTAGAACAGCCCTCATAAGTGCATGCCATTTTCGCTCATTTGAAACGTTGCACTGAAGCTAATTTTGTGGACGCATTATCCTGCAGCAGTCGGATGTCCTTTTTTTGTTAGGAAGTGCTTGCTGAATTGATTAGACGGAAAGCAAGGGTTTGCATAACTAAGGACTTCTTATATGGGGCTTCAGGGGTCTCCGAAAAATGTAAAAGAAAGCAAACAGTCCGTTCATGAAAAAGCATCACGTTCGCAACTTTACAGTGAACCTGAACGATTGGAGTTTTCGTTAAGTATGGGAGAGCTGGGATGGAGTTAGGGTTGGTTAGTAGGAAGGGACGCTCTCTAACGAGCAAGGTTCGTGAATCGAATTCGGATCGATACTCGCCCAAATCAAGCCCTAAATCGAGCCTAGAAACCCTGCAGGTCTATTGATTGGTTCTAGATCCGTCTGGGAAGATGAGAGCGCTGACTTGAACATTAGCAGACCACTGTAAGTAATCGTAGAGGCTACATACGCATTCAAACCTTGTTACGATTCTAAATAGAGGTAAAATGCTTGGCTTGTCCTAAAAAAATCTGCTGACCAATTAAAAGACCCTATCTACTGTTATTTCAAGAGGAGGTAGCTTACGGACTTTGTCGTCCTAAAGGACCTTGTCCTCTGTTACTTAAGAGAGAGGTGGCAGACGGTATTCGTTTCAGGAATCCGCATACATCAAGGTGATCAACCCCTGATTCTTGATGGAAGTCACCTGAACGAAGCTGCTGAACCTCAAGATTATAAGGTACGGCTTGAAAATGTAAGGAAGTGAGGTTCTGCCATATTCTACAACTTTTCCAGATTTTTATCGGCTCTGAAAGGTGCTACGTCACCCTTGTTGACACAAGGCAATTGGTCTGCAGTGGCCCTTCAGTTCAACCGGATGCTACGGATGAGCGTGGTAAGGTTCAGAATACCGCTTCAGTCTTACGCCGTGCCGCCAACTTTATCCATCCCTCTTGAGGTGAGCCTATCGTTGGTGGTCTTCCATTGGTCTCCGTTACCGTTGGACGACTTCGAACAGAACTGGGACTTATCGAATATGTGGATCCGATTGCCACACTGCGTTTATGGGTTCTGGTAAATATCCTCCCTACCCTTCATATTTATTTGGAAAGGAGTTGTTTTACCTAATTCATTTCCAGGTTGTAACAGCTCTTGCTGCGTTGTGTTCTTTGCTGGTGCTGCTCGCATTCCTTTGGAAGAAACGCCGGGTGGAGCGAGAACGTGACTACAGGAAGATCCAAATGCAAATGGAACATCTGGAGAGCAACGTCAGGAAAGAGTGCAAGCAGGTAATGTCCAATGGTTTTGATAGGTCTGAGCTTTTCGTAAAAAGATCTATTATGAAATCCTTCCAGGCCTTTGCCGAGCTCCAAACGTCTATGGAAAGCTGTGGAGATGACGATTATGAAGGTAAGTTCACAGTTCCACGAATGCTTCCAAGATTGAAAGGCAGAGCTTACGTTTTGGCCAACGACGTTATTTAGCGCCTGCTTTTCCCGATGTTTCCAATCCAATTAGAGGAGAAAAAGGGCTTTTTCGGATTATTTAAGGTCGACCGTATAAAGCAAAACTTGTTTTAAGGGCGGATATACCGCCTCCAAGTTGAGCTGTTCCCTTTATTCCTCATGTAGATGGAGAAAGCACTTTCAAACGTCCCAACGTTTTTGAACTAGAACTGATTGTGTGGCGCGACCCGGACATTTATCGTTCTATAGGGTGTTAAGTTACTGTCTCAGCCAAAAAGCCTTGAGCAAAAAGAGTTCCTCAAGAGCTGCGAACACAGTACTGATGGGAGATGGGAATGCTTTCAGGTAATGACGTCACAACGTTAGTCGAGTTTGTACATCGTCTCTTGTGGGACGACAGTGGCTGGACACATTCACCATCACTCTATGCTTCTACTCTACCGGTTACTCTGGCTCAGTTCGATGCCTTACTCAGCTGCAAGCAATTCGTCTTTTCGGTGAGTTATCTACTCTAGTCTCAGTTCAATATTTTGAAATGGCCCTATCGCATGGTCAAACCTATGATTCTGCAACCCCAGGAAACAATCGGAATTCTTAGAAGTTACCATAATCTATTACTTTGGCAACTAGCCAGTTACCCTAGTGTTCCTCATAGACCATAGGTTCCTATGGGTGTCTTTCGTACTGCAGGTCGCCTGATTTTCCGTGTCCATCGCAGACTTGTTCTTAACGCGCAGTTCTTTCAGATCGTAGAAACGGCCGAGTCCGAGTCGGGAATGTCGCTGAGCGAGAAGTCCATGCTCTCTTCGTTACTGATCGCTGTACTGCTGCGGAACTTCCAGTACTGTACAGATGTCGTCCTATCGCTTCTCCGAGCCCATATCGCTAAGAGTGTTCATGTAAGTGACGCATGTTTGCTCTATTTACTTATTTGAATTCAGGTAAACTTTGAACGCCAAAGAACGAGTGTCCATAGATCGTAATGCCGTAAAGGTTTCGAGCTGAAGTTTGACGTGTGACGCATCTCCAAAGTGGTTCTTTTCACGCTTGTTTGATGCACTGCGCTCATACTTTTGATTCTTTCTCGTCGTGCAGCGACCCTGCGATATTCTTTTATACTTTTATACTAGTACTCTACTTTTCTTTAAATCCCCTTCCTTACTGAATTTTGAAATCAATAAATTAAGAAATTAAGGAATGAAAAAATGAAATCCAAATTAATAATTTTTAGGCGGGATGTGGCGACATTCTGTTCCGTAAAAGCGACAGTGTGGTAGAGAAAATGGTGTCCAAATGGCTGGCGATCTGTCTTTACGACTCCATATCCCAGTATCAAGCCCACAAATACAGTACTCTATTCAAGGTCCGTAATTTTGTAATTTTTGAATCACTGGAACACTTTAAGGCTACTTATTGCAGGCTTTAAAATACCAAACTGAAAGGGGTCCAGTGGATGCAGTTACTGGTAATGCTCGGTACACAATCAACGAGGCTAAGCTTCTGAGAGAAATCGTCGACTGCACCCCCGTGGTACGTAACTGGGTATTTCCCGGTAATTAGAATCAGTTGAAGCCAATTTCTTCCAGGACTGCTTGGTGATGACACTGGATGGCTGCGGTCCATTCACCGTTCGGGCAATTGCCTGTGATACGATCTCCCAGTTGAAACAGAAAATCCTCGATCACCTCTATAAACGAATTCCGCATAGTCAACGACCGACGCTGGCCAGTTTCGATTTAGGTTGGTTCGGCTGATTTCTAAAGGGTTTTCAAGGAAAACGGATTCGCAACTGAAGCGATTCGATCCACACAAGCCAGAGGAACCACTGAATCTGAGCAAAGGGCCGAGATTATGATCGTAAAGATTCCAGAAATTGTGGAAAGTCCAGGTTTTCTGGAAGCTCTCCCACAAAACATGCTATTCCTATCATCCCATCTCGGTAAACTGGTCGGATTCCCTGGAAATTTGCCAATTCCTCCTTATTTCAGAGTTGCTCTGTCCTACACGTGGACGCCTACTGCTATCCGACTGGTCAGGACCTTGCCCGTCAACCATGAAAGGACCAACCAAATTGAACACCTTAGCCACCTACGGCATCTCAAATCAGTCACGTATTGCAATGATTCCTGCCGAAAAAAGTTCAACGGGCTATCGAGGTAAGTTCTTGTGAGAGAATGGTGTATAAAGGGTGATTTTGAGTTGTTGCAGACTCGTTGGCTGATTCGGGCAAGTCATCGTGGTCATCGTTGGATCGGTCATCTCCAGTGTATCCACCAAGCCGTTTCTGTCACCTGTCCAGTCCATCACGTACGCTGACTATGGAGAAGCGGAAGAAGATCGATGAAAGTATTCCGAAGTCGATTCCAGAAGTCTATCTGACACGACTCCTTACCAGGTAGCATTAAATAGTCGATACTAAGTACCATTGAGACGATTGTGTTTTTTTTGGGGAGGCTGGAAGGATAGAAAAGTGAAGAAGAACAAGGGCGAGAAGTAGCTCTGAGCCAGCTGGCTCCTAAGTAGTTAGAGCCTATTACCTGGCCGAGGTTTCAGACGTTTAAAAAGGTCTCACATAGCCAGGCTCCTTCTCAGATACCGTATTTTGGTTTGTTGTGCAGACGTAAGTTATTCCTTTCCGTTGGGATTAGGTAAGTAGATCTCGTACCCATCGTTTTCATAAGAACGTTACGCTCCTGCTGAAGGAACCCAAAGGCTTCTTTTCTCTCGAATTTCTTGAGTGTTCATTTTCAAAAAAAAAAACACCAGTTTTTCTAACGCATTGCTTTGCAACTTGCAAAAACCTCGTTCTAATTGATAACTTGCAAAAAAAAACCATGTTTTTAAACTTATTTCTCTTCCAGCAAGGGTACTGTACAGAAGTACATTGAAGATTTCCTGGAATCAATAATGTTTCTTGAATGCTCTACATATCCACCCATACTGAAACGTGTATTCGATCTGTTAGAAGAGGAAGCGACTCGGAATAGGGTGAGTTTGACTGTACACTCATTGTTTGGTAACATTTTTCGTGGATTTAGAGGATTTAGCCATCCACGCTATCCCCTCGGCCAGCGCAGGGGGGTTTCGGATGTGATAGAACACGCATGTTGTTTACATTATAGTGCTGTTCCCACTGATTCCCTATAAGAGTTGTAGTGATCGGTACCCTTGACAAAACCTTTTCAGCGGTGCGCTACGAATCGAACCTTTCTTTAGAATCTTAGTAGCATGTATGTAGTTGTAGTTTTGTCCATTTCGATGGTTGTTGCAGGTTTCTAAAAGATTAGGTGGTTTTCCCCTGAGGCAGTCCCAAACGCCTGATATCTGACCAGCGGCAGACGTAATGCTTTGTAGAAAANAAAAGTGTAGTGTGAAGCCTGGCAGTTGGATCACCCACAACTACCCCATCCTCGCCCTATAAAAATATTGCAGGTCCAGGAAGTTCTTAGATCCCTTGCAATTCCAACAAAAGGACCGACCCTCCGTTTTTTCCACTGAGCTAAATAACACAAACGAATCTACCTTCCGTTTCCAAGGGTCTGGATCTATATGGAGACTTGAAATATGTCAGAGTTCTCCTTTTCAAATCGAATTTGAATTAAATTTTAATTAAATTTAATTAACTAGGGTAATGCATTTCCAATCGCTTTTCAGGTATCCGATCATCGTTTAGTCCAGCAGTGGAAATCGAATCTGTATATTTTACGCGTTTGGGTTCATCTTATCAAGAATCCCAAGATTCTTCTAGATGTTTCCGAGTCCATCAGTCAAGATGGCAATCTCTCCGTCGTCGCTCAAACACTGGTCCGTTGAAGTCATTCATCTTCAAGTTCTTTGAAAGGATTTTATTCAATTTAGATGGACTGCTTTTCGTTTTCCGAGCAGTGCTTGGGAGCCCATTCGCCCAGTTCCCGGTTGTTATTTGCTAAGGTAAGGGCCCTGTCCCTCCTGACCCATCTGTGAATATTTTTTGGAAGTTTACAAATGTAGAGTCCAAGTTTTTTGCTTATTTCCCCTAATTTCAAGGAGGTGGCCCGACTACGTCCGCTGTCCACTGATCTATTCCGTAGGATACGCCGACAGCCTCCTGTTTCCGATGAGATCTTTATCGACAGCCTTAATGAAGTCGCGAATGTTAGTTGGCTTTCAAATGTTTCTAGAATTTTTTCTTCTGAGTTCATTCGAAATTTCGAATTCAAATTTGACTTTTCTATAAATTTTGTTATATTTAGAGTCTGCGTGACTGCACGCGATCAACGGTGGCTCTCTCTGAATTACTTACTTGGGTACGAGGGAATGGTGTTCGTTTGATTGAGGTGAGTTCTTGGTAGGCGGCCTGTTAACTGAAGCAGAAAAGTTCTAGAAATCTACTGATAAAATAAAAAATTTCTACTGTTTGCGGCTCGTTGGATGCGCCATGCATTCGTTCTTCTCCAGTATAGTAGACTGGAGATCATGCAAAGTTTTTTTCTTCTCAGTGGTATGACCTTACTGCACCTGAGTACCTTAGATCAAGAACTATGGGAATTTCTTATTTCGAACTATGAATCAATTTGGGACCATCAGGCACCTATGATTGGGTCCAGTCGTCGGAAATGTCAACCTAATGAGGTATTTAGTCTAGGTACTAAGCAAAATTGACCTTCACAGTAATCAAAGAATCTAGATCGATATGGATGCATGGCGCAAACCAGGGCCCTCAATCACAACTTACCACTCTGTGCTTCAAACCCTGACCCGTTTTACTTCAACTTATACTTATTTCCATATGAGTTTTCCATCTGCAGGTGCTTGCCGCTGATGATGTCTGTACATCTCAACGACTACCATCCCGATTATCTCAGGTTATCAACCTATCGCTTGACCCGGCCGATCACATTTATTCGACCATACTCGACGAATCATAGTTTTCGAGAATCTTCTATTCGTGGGAAGATATCTATCAGGGTCATTCGAATGTACCATATCATAATCGTGTACGTGTAAGGGTTGAATCCCTAGAAATTCTACTGTGAAATTAGGATTCTAGTTGTACTAAACTTGAGGTTTCTGGACTTCATTGAGACTTTATGAAAGAAAGAAACTTCAAAAAGAATTGACTGAGTGAGTTCCATCATTCGGCGAACCCCCCTGCTGTGCTTACAGCGCTTTATCTAGTCTTTCACTTGCCTGCCGAGTTTCATGTTCTCCTCATTCCGGATTTTGTTCAGATTCTAAATATGTAAATGAATATTTCATGCATTATCACCTGGTTTTTCATCGCAACATGCGAAAGAGCGTTTCAGACAGCATGTAAACAAACAAAAATAAATACAACTGATGCATTACATAAATGGGTACCAACAGATGGAGTTTAAACTACATTGATGGCATACGGCTAGATGATGTCCCTGTTTTATGGAAGAATCCCTTCAGTCCACAGCCGCTCCCGGCTGAATGCACACCCCGTTCGTGAGAACCCGTTCGCAGGAATCGCACGAGATACGGTGCTGATCTTTTCTTAGGGCCGGCCAGCAATTCTGCTCAGAGACCCGGTCCATGGTCACCGTCTGGGCTCCCATCTAAGCCGAGGTGCTCTCCATCATCGTAGCATCTGATGAAATTGGAAGGTTTGGTTATAGGAGATCGTAACGAGTGGGGAACCTCTCCCATCAATGTTTTCTCGGGAGTTCGCTGTCGGATTGCTAAAGGGTCCGGTACGAACTTCAAAAGTCATCTTGGCTAGCAAACCTATGAGATCGAGGAACACATCTGGGTTG